TTAATAGACTTTTCACTCATTTCCTCCATGTCTGCAGTTATCTTTCACTAGTTGCATTCACTCGTTTCCCAAAGTCATCTTGAATGTTGAATTTTCAATACAACTGAAATATTTGAGAGAACATCACATAAGCTAACTTCATAAATTGATGTTGATTTTCCTAAAATGTGTTTTTTTTTTAACTCTTAAAAACTCATTTTGCCCTTTGGTTGGGCAGTTTGAACTTCATTTATGTTAATATAATTATCTTCCTCTTAATGCAGCAATGCATCATGAAGTCAGAGTTATTTGATTTCAAGGGAAGAAAAGTAATAAATAGGTTGTTTTTAGAATGTGACCTATATTCTAATTAAAGCATTAGTGTTTTTTTTATTTTGCTTGTGTTTTTAATGAACTTTATAAAATTGTATTTTTCATAAATTCCTTGAGATGCTTGTAACTGGATTTATATAATCTTTGAATTGTGTGTGGTAATATGCTAAAGTCACACACAGACTTAAACATTCAGCACGTGAACCACAACAATGGTTCTTTTTGTTGTGCTACTACTGACACAAGACAGCAAATAAAATTGGCAAATAAAATCAACAACTGTAAAACAAAGCAACTGCATAATTTATTCATGCCGCAATGCACTCTGGGAGTCAGTGAGTAGCTATATTAAGTCATGAGTAAACCTAAATGAAAGGATCAAGTACCCCCTACAGTTCTTTTTTAGTTACTAGAACTCTTGTGTAAGTAAACTATACTAACTAAGCATTTGTCAGTACAACATACTATTCCTATTTCACTTTATTTCGTTTTTTCAAGGCAATCGGTTTGCATGCTTTTTTTAAGTAAGCCCAACTAATTAGATTTTACAGTGTAGCTGCATTTGTTGCTGCCAGTGTACCATCTGAATGATTTTAAAAATGATCCTTCAGGCTAAAAAAACTTCCATACAGTTCCTTTAAATTTATTTCAGTTACTTCTGTTGCTTTGCTGTAGGAACTCAGACTTCAGGTGATTCCTCTAGAATGGAGTTTGCACAGGATGGATTCAGCACAGCCTTCACATCATATGTAAATAATATGTGATTTTACCAAATCCCTAATATTAATCTCTTCGGACCAAGTGAATGATCATAGTATGGTTATGCAGTTATACATTTTCATTAAAGGTCGAAAATGTATAGCAATAAACTTTAAATACTAAAAAACTGTGACCCCAAAGACAACACTGTACCCTTTCATCTTTTGTAATGCACTCAAATTTTTGTCAAATAAAAGAAGGGTATGCAGTAGCTTGAGATGGTGTATATTTTCCAAATCCAGTGACAGTTTAGTTTTGCTTTGTTTAGGGAAGTGTGTTGGTGAGTGCTGTTGGAGCTTTCCAGTGGAAAGGTGGTTACCAGGAATATGTTCCAAGTAGCTCCTTTCAAACAGGCAATAAGCATGAAAGCTATCTAGGTAAGGCTTTATTTTTGAAACATACTAAAATATAGAAGATGTGAATTTAAAGTCAGTTTCTCCTATACAGCAAAAACAACTAAGAACATGCATAATACTGAACTATTGAATTTTGTCTGAAGGTTATTCGATGGCTGTTGCAACAGTTTCAGGGATCAGCTATGCTATTCTTGGAGCACCAAGATACGAGCATCAAGGACAAGTCATTGTTTCACAAATCAGAACCAATCAACATAAAGAGCTGGAGTTTCCCAGGGTTGTTCACAATAACCACAGTATCATTTTCCCTATTCAATGATTGTGTAATAAGTCAAGATGTTACAGTGCTGCTGTAAGTTTGATTTTAACATTAATGGATACTTAAAAGCAGCCCCCCCATCACCCCACACCCGTTTATTCATGTTATGATTCATGTCATCTAAAGCCTTTATTTATAGATGTGGAAGCCAACACACTCATAAATCACAAAGGGAGTTTTTTTTTACGTCAACCAACAACATTACAATTTAGCTTTCAGTATTTCATTATAGAAAATCTAAACAAGCATTCGTAACTGAAGAAAACATTTTTCAGGGTTTGACATTTGAAATATCAGTTTCAAAATCCTTCTGATGGGACCCTGACTTCTAATATGGCAACCAGCAGAAAGTAGATAAAGCTAATATTAATGTTCAAACTTCTCTTTCCTCAGCCTCAGATTGGCTCATATTTTGGAGCTGAGGTTTGTGTGGTGGATTTGAACAGTGACTCCAGAACAGACCTCCTGTTGGTATCGGCACCAATGTACATGGAGCCTGACCGGGAGGGCAAAGTGTTTGTTTACACCTTTACGAGTCAGGTAAGCGATGGGGATAAAACTTTTTAGAACAATTTTGAAAATTAATTTAGATTTAAAGATTTTTTTTATTTTTTTTTACTTATCTTTACTTTCTCTTCTATCATCATAGTTCACTTTTTCTGGTGTGGTGCTGGTGGGAATGGCAGGTCAGAGGGGTCGGTTTGGTTCTTCTTTGGCCAGTCCAGCAGATCTGAATAATGATGGTTACATGGATGTGCTGATTGGAGCTCCTTTAGAGGAGGACGGACAGGGCAGCATCTACATATTCAATGGAGGAGTAGATCAAATAAATCCCACATATTCACAGGTGAAAAAGACTTGGTTGGTGTCAGTTTAAGGGCATAGTAGCACCTTCCATGCATTAATTTTCCTTGGCTCACTTCAGGGGCTCATTATAATATTTCCATTATCTGTTTGATTATCTGTTTCATTCCATGTCTGTGATGACAGCGGATTGCTGGATCATCGGTACAATTAGGTTTGCAGTTCTTTGGAATTTCATTGAGTCAGTCCTCTCTAGACCAGAGTAGAGACAGCTTTCCTGATATTGCTGTTGGGTCCATGGGAGCAGTTCTGCTTCTTAGGTCTGTTTAAAGAACTCTCTCTCTTTATATATATACTGTATGTATATGTATATATATTGTGGCATCATGAGAGAGCGTGTGCTAGAGGGAAGATACGGGGCAAGATGGCCACCTGTTAAGGACTACAAAGCCCAGGCTGCCTTAGAGAGAGGGGGCAGCTGCAACTCAAATGAGACTGGCAGCATGGTCTGAGAGGAGGGAAAAGAGGTGTTGGTGTGGCTGAAAAAGACACACACCACTGGTGTTGGGAGACGTAAACACTTCTGAGCGGCGCATGCGCAAAGCTGACCTCATACGTCATTCCCCCGGAACTGCTTTCAGTGTACAACAGTGAGCGCGAGCTACATTAAAGTGATTATTACGCTTTGAATATGGATATTTTTCTTACAAAAACGCATCGATTCGCTACAGAAGGTCTTTGTTCACCCCCCGGAGCCATGTGAGACACTTTTTTTTTATGGATGGGCTCATTTTATTTAACTGCTTTTGGACGGATGCACTGCAACACCCGCTGAGTGGCATGAAACAGCTTGAAAGATCAAAGACCATTTTTAATATAACTCCGACTGGATTCGTCTGAAAGAAGAAAGTCATATACACCTAGGATGACTTGATGGTGAGTAATTTCTGGGCTATTTTTCATTTTTGACATTTTTAACTAACCCTTTAAAGGTGCACTAAGCGATTTTTGCCAAATGATGTTGATATTTGAAAGCACTAAAACTCCGCCCCACACGTACGTACACAACCCTGGCAGCGACAATGGCAGAATCTGCTATGCCTGCCGGCCGCAGCATATTCAAGCAAAAACCAACATAGAAAAGTTGTGTGAAAAAGCAAAATCAACGTAACTCACCTATCAAGAAGTAACAAAGCAACCTTGGCGTCCGATTCCCTTCCGCTCCTTGAGTTCTCTCCACCGCTGGAAAGCTGCTCCAATATTTACGTGGGTCCTACCTCTTGCCTGATCGTAACCCTTCATTTTAATGTTTTGTTCCTCCGAAATTTTCTTATTTTTTATCTGCCAACTCTCGCTATCTATAGTCAATCTGCTAATATCCATCCTGTGCACTCACTGAGCGCATCTCTTCTCCCTATCATTACTAGACACGCCCCTTACTGCTGATTGGCTGCGAGTGTGTTTTGGGACTCGGTCCGACACAGTGGTCAAAAGCGTTTTTCAAAAATCGCTTAGTGCACCTTTAAGTTATTTTGTTTGTGTGCTGAAGAGATTTAAGTTGTAAACCTAAGGCTTTCTGTTTGATTGTTAAACAACACCTGCAGGCTGAGGAGACTGTTGAAGCTGTGTTTATTGAAAAACTGCACAAGTTAAAGATCCGCAACCTCTCATGCTGCCACAATACACATACACACACACACACACACACACACACACACATACACACACACGAATACACAAATAGTAATCAATCATTGTTATGTGAATCATTCAGGTCCAGGCCCATCTTGCTCTTGGAAAACAAAGTAACTTATAACCCAACCAAAATACCAACCAGTGTAACAGACTGCACAAAGCCATTGCAAAACAACCTGACTGTGTGCTTCACCATGAGGGGATTCAAACATAGCCTAACAGGTTTTTTCATAAACTAATTACATACTAAAACTGAGTTTTTGTGTGCTTACATCACATATATTCTTCTCGAGGTTTGTAGTATTCTGGTGAACTCTTGAAATGCCACACCTTGTTGCATTGCTAAATTTTTTTTTTTGCTTCTTATGATCAATCATGTGTTCTAGATTTAGCTGCAAATATTAATTACACCATAACGCTGGATGCCAAGCGACAGAAATATCGAGCATATTTCTCGGCCAAAAACCGCCTCCACAATGATGTGATGAACATTGGGTTGCAGGAAGTTTGCAGAAATCATTCTTTTTTAATAGAGGTAAGCATCAAATGTAAATGGTATTGTTGTTGTTGTTGTCTAGCTATTCTGATTAGATTTTAGTGAATCTGATGAATGGAGGCTAAAAATTGGGAGGTCATTCAGGTTTCTTAATATATATAATATTGTGATACTGTGATTAAAAAAAAAGTTGAGTCTAATATTTTATTTAACATTTTAAGAAATATAATGGGGACATTTAGATGCATAACAGGAGCGTCCCATATATATATATTTTAGAGTGTTTTGCTATTAACATTTCTTATTACTTCTTGTTTCCACCAGGCTTGTCCAGAAGATGCTCTGAACTCATTGTCCAATCAGTTAAATTTGAAATTTAATGGTCTACCATCGAGATCTAGAACAATGCAAAACTTGAGGCCAATTCTCCATCCAGATATAAAGACCACCACAGACCACAATGTAAGAGTTCATCTGTGTAAAGTTAAGAGCAGAAATGATGCACTTTCTACAGTATGTGCAAACACCTTAGTGTCTTACAGCCCATCAGATAATGATTTAGCATGGCAAATATTGCAAAAATAAAGGGAAGGTTATTTCTGACTGTAAATATGGTATGTTACTTTAAATATGTCATGGTGCCCACCATTGCCAGCAGAAACCAATGCAGAAATGAACAATAAACATTAGCTCTTTGTATCTCATCACATATGAGCGATTCTTTCATTTTTTTTATGTGCCCTCACTTTGTTTTACAGCTAGATTTTGAGATAAACTGTGGAACTGATAATTTATGTGTCGATGACCTCAGAATGGATTTTAATTTCTCTGGGTGAGCAAATCATTTGCTCTATTTCTAAACTTTAATATTGATAGAGATGAATAACTCCAAACTATCTTGACACCCACTAACCTCTCTTTTGTTTCTGTGATCCAGAGCTACAAATATCGAGGTTGGGATCATGCAGGAGATCAATGTGACAGTGTTTGTAGAGAACAGAGGAGAAAACTCATACAACACATTCTTCACCCTCAACTACGCCTTTGGACTTTCCTACAGGAGAATCACATCTAAACAGGTAAAGCCAGACACAAAGGTACAAATGCTGAAACTAACAGTTAAAAATGATGACAATGATATTTCTAAAGCAAATTGACTATTGAACACTGAAGGTGCAATAAAATGTGTGTTGAAATATATTATGAACGTTCTGCATGAACAGGGCAGAGTGGAGTGTCTGTCTCTGGATGGTGTGCAAGGAGGTAAACTAGGAGAAACCACCTGCTACATCAGTAAACCCATCCTCAAGGACAACTCTCAGGTCAACAACCACACCCGTGACACTAACCGAACGTTTGCTTGTGTGTAGGGCTGCACGATAATGTTAAAGGGGTCATATGATGTTGCTAAAAAGAACATTATTTTGTGTATTTGGTGTAATTAAATGTGTTTATGCGGTTTAAGATTCAAAAACACATTATTTTCCACATACTGTACATTATTGTTTCTCCTCTATGCCCCGCCTTTCTGAAACGCGTCGATTACAAACGAGGCATTTGTAGCATCCAGTGGGGACATAATTACGGACCATAACGACTTGTACTGTCTTTTTACGCGTTGCGTTGCATCGCGCCGCATAAACATAAAACCATGTCTGCATTTGTGATCAAAGAAATGACAAACAACAAGCGCTACTCTACACTGCTCAAAACTCGTGTTTGAATCATCAGTGGCAAATCCTTTAAATATGAAAATGTACTTACAGGCTGTGAGTCAGAACAGCCGGCATTGTAGTCTACTCTCCCAGGATCAGGAAACAGTCCTCCATAAAATGTGCTGCACACATCTGAATATTTGGCTTGAACTGTTCTGGAACAGTGTTGTAAATACAACTTAACCACTGATTTCTAGTCGTGTCCTCTTTTGGAAGGCCAAACAAAGTATTTTCACTTTTGCAACGAAACATACAGTGTCTTCACAACATGGCGGCAGCGGCGGCAACAACAATAAAGTTATGCCTTCTTTCTTTGCGTGAACATTTGGGCGGCGTTATGCAAATCTTCCCACATAGTGACGTAGACGTGTGGGGGCATGTTTAAACGAGGTGTTTTAGGAGGGTGTGGAGAAATCTAAACTTTTATAAAGAATATCTCTTTGGATTTGAGACTTTAGTCTTTGCAACTTTAGGGATCTTATCTATTCACAAACAGCTTGTAACACTCCAAAGAGAAAGGAAAACTTGAAATTGCATCATATGACCCCTTTAATATTGAGAATCAATGATTCTTTTGCTCAAAAATTTGAATTGCGATTAATTAAGAAATGTCTTTTTACATTTCATCAGAATGATTGCATGTTCATGTAAGCACAAATCAAGAGAATGTCAGCTCATACACAGGGTTTATTTTATCCAAGTCTGCTTTCCTGATTCATTATATTCATCATATACATTAACACACTCTCTACATACAAACTGGTAAAACATTAAGAAGCTTCTCTCAAAAGCTAAAACTACGGAAGCTGGTTTCAGCCGTGGAATAAAAAATATAAAAGGTAAATGTGACTTTTTATCTCACAATTCTGACTTTTTCCTCACAATTGTGTTTATATCTCAGACTTTTTATATATCAGACTTTTTCTCAGAATATTGATTTTACATCTTGCAATTCTGATTTTTGTTCTCTCTAAATTCCAAGTTAACATCTCGCAATTCTGACCTTTTTCTTGAAATTTGGAGTTTACATGTTGCAATTTTGACTTCTTTTCTCGGAATTCTGAGTTAACATCTCACAATTGTAGGATTAAGGGATCTAAAATATGGTCATGCATTAATATGTGCTTTATAAGTACTAATAAACAGCCAACATGCTAGCAATATGCATGCTAATAGGCAACTAGTTTATAGTGAGAATTGGTCCCTAAACTAAAGTGTTACTCCCTTTTATGGAAAGCTTGCATATAAAACACTGAAATTCCAAATTTTTAAAAGCATTTTAACATTTTCTTTTTTTCTTTTCTGTTATTAACATTTAATTTTATTTTTTATTTTTTTTACATTTTATTGTAGCACAGTCGTTGCATGTGTGCATTTATTCAGCAACCACAATCTCAAACATTATAGTAGAGACTGATGTTTGGATTTATTACAGTTTGTCACTGAGAAGGTTTGTTCACAGATTTAGTTGCAGAAAATAGTACAAGCGGCCTTTAAACTCTTGACATCTGGCAACCATGAAAGCTAGTGGAGGCTTGTTACTAATACAAGACAATGTAAATATAAAATGTAACATCAAAATAAAAAAATGGTTTTAGGATAAATAACCAGGCCAGTATCACAACAATTATGGTTAATTAATCAAGAGAAATCAAGATTAAAATATGATTAATCGTGCAGCCCCACTTATGTGCACATACACACTCATTTACTGATTGTTTTTAAACTCAAAGCCGTTAACAGACACTCTTATCCAGAGCAACTTAAATTTCATGTTCTGCTGACAAATGACCATCTTTTAACAAGTCCAACATTCAGTCTTATTTTTCTTACTCTGGCATTTTTATCCAAATTCTAGGTTGTGTTTGAGATTACATACAGTATTAATAAAGAAAGTACACTCGGCCAAAATGTGACGTTTAAGGCTGCGGTCACAAGGTATGACATCATCTTTGTGTGACTGTGGTGTGCTTGAAGTTGTTTGAATGAAGTCAAAATGCAAAACAGCTTTTGACCATGAGCTCTGGCTGCTCACATCATCATTTTATCAATAATTTTTAACTGATAAAGTCTGCTAATAAACAAAACCTCCATTTCTCACAGTGGAAATGACAAACATTCTAGTGACAGTGAATTTTTCAAAGAAAAGACCATTGGTGTCAAATATGCCATCTCTGTTGCCTTGATAAGGTTAGTGCTCTGCTCCATGTTTCTGTATAAATAGTAAACAATACCACATATTTTTTTTCATCCTATATTGTAATATTGTAATTGTCTTTCTTAATTTTTAATGACAGGCATGAAAATTCCACCATTCACATTAATTTTACTTCAGGGAAAAAGGATCTTATGAAACCAGTCCACCAGATAATAAAGGTATTAGTTCAGATTCTGTATCTGTAAGTACACTGAAAAATAATTTGGCACAGAAACAATTTTCCCTCAAAAACTGCTAGTAAATTCCACAAACAATTGAACATTGAATTTAACGTGAAATTTTGAAGTAGAAAAACTGAAATAGTATTTTCTTGTAAAATAATCCGCGTTATTTACAACTATATTTTAATATCATTGATATACCGTTATAGTTTTTGTTAATATTTTGAATTTGATTTTTTAAAATTACATTTGATGCTTTTTGTTCTCATTTTAATTTTAGTTACAATTTTAGTGAATTGGTTGTGTCTTTTTTATTAGCTTTTAATATATAAATATGTCTATTTAGATTTGTATAAAATTTTAGTTCTAGTTATTTTCGTACTTTCAATGAAAATGAGAAATTTTGCCTTGGCAACTACCTAAAATAAAATACAAGGTTTATATTTTATTTTATTGCTGTTATTGTTCATTTTATATCAAGTAATGATTTTTTAAATGGTTCTAGTTTTAGTTTTCAATAATGTTAATAACCCTGAGAAAAAAGGTTTTACTTCATTCTTAAGATCTATAACAGCCCTTACCAAAAAGTAGTATACTTCAAGTTTATTTTAGTATATAAGTCAAGTATACTTAAATGTCATTTTAAGTATATTTCTGAGAAGTACATAAAGCCCATTTCTGAGAAGTACATACAAAGTAGACTAAAAGTATACTTTCCTATTTTTAGTTTAAAAGAAGTATACTAATAGCACACTTGAATAAACTTCTTTTTCGTAAGGGAGAAGAACACACTCCATGGCAAAATGTCTATACTGTACATAACCCTTCCTTATTTTTATCCTTTCAGATTGAAAATGACCTCAGAGAATTAACTTTCAAGGTTTTCATCAAAGTACCAGTGAAAGTTGGTGATGCTGATATCTGGACTAATTCAAGTCTGCAAGTGTGTGAATTTATTTCTTATATTACAAGCCATCCACTGATTCTTTTAATTCAATATTTTCTGCATAATATGGGGAAAGAGTATCCCATCCGTCACCCATTATTTGTTCAGAAGCTAGTTTGATGATGTCATCAAGAAAAATGTAACCCATGTTGAAAACTGTGGTGCTCTTATCTGTTTATTTATTAATTTGAAAGATTTCTGGCTGTAAGTGGGAGAACATGAAAAAGCCTGCTATCACCAATTTTATGGACATTATTAAAAGTCAACGTACAGTGGTGAGGACACTTTTTGAGTTTTATTTTTATTTTTACCGCATTTGATTTCCTCTTTTATTTAATAATTCACTTTATTCCAAAATATATATATATTTTTTTGCATTTTTATAGCTGCTGTTTTAATACAATTAATCTCTCACTAATCTTTTGACACTTTGATAATCTATAGTAAGTTTTAAATTTTTTACTTTCATGTCTTTTGTAAGACGTTGCACTGTTTCATGCTTTTCATCTTCAGAAAGATCTGATATGTCTGATATGTCACTTGCGTAATAATTTAAAGCACAGTGTATATGTTAAACAAACATTAATGAAACTCTCTGGATGTGTGTGTGTGTGTGTTTGTGTCAGAACTGCTCTGTGGCGGTGTGTGCCGAGTTCAGCTGTGACGTCACTCTCATAAAGAATGAAAGGATGCTCTATAATATAACTGGCAATGTGAGCTCTGGATGGATTGAGCAGGTCTCTGACTTAAAAGCAGATTCATATCACAAAACAGATCATATATTCATATTTTTGTCATCATTTTGTAATGTCATAATCTGTGTCTCTCTTAGACTGGACTCAGAGCTGCTGTTTTCCATCTGGTCAGTTCAGCATCTCTGGATTATGACAAGAGCAAATATGTTTTCTTTGCCTCTGATTCTCAACAAACTGCACCGTCTGTTCAGGTAATTTAGTGAGATTTCATGTCAAGTCTAATGAATGTATGAAGAGCTCTCAAAGCCATACTCTGTTTAATTGAACAGTCCTGCAACTGCAATCTGTTGTTTTACAGTTTGTTACTTGTGTTCATTTGATCTCTATTTTATTCTTTTTTTTTCAGACTACATACTCTCTTCCCTTTTTTGCTTTTAGCAAATATATGTGTGTGTGTGTGTGTGTGTGTGTGTGTGTATATATATACAGTGCTGCTTGAAAGTTTGTGAACCCTTTAGAATTTTCTATATTTCTGCATAAATATGACCCCAAACAGAATTAGATTTTCACACAAATCCTTAAAGTAGACAAAGAGAATACCCTTTGAAACCTAGTGGACTTTTACACGTCTTGCTTTTAGAGTGATCTTTGTTGGTGGAGCACTCCTGGGGAGGGTAACAGTGGTCTTGAATTTCCTCCATTTGTACACAATCTGTCTGACTGTGCATTGGTGGAGTCCAAACTCTTTAAAGATGGCTTTGAAACCTTCTCTAGCCTGATGAGCAACAGCAACTCTTTTTCTGAGGTCCTCAGAGATCTCATTTGTTTGTGCCATGATACCCTTCCACAAACATGAGCAAACTTTGATCGATCCCTGTTCTTTAAATAAAACAGGGCACACACTGACACCTGA